TTGCATTTAGAAAGACAAGATCAAGTTGCAAAGTAGTGTGTAATTGCTTGGCAATTTACAAATAATAATGGGTTTAAATGGCACACAATCCTTTGACAGGCGTTCTATAGAGAGGCCAAGTCTATATTGCCTCCCTTTTAATCTGGGCTCTGTAGCTGCTTGAGTAATAGAACATGTGTGAGTGATGCTGTTGGTTTCTGCATCCATAACCTAAGAAATGGGCAGCTCCCACTTTCTGTTTCTTCAGCCACACACCCTTGGAACCTAGGGACCAGGCGTGAGGAAGCCCCAGCTGCCTTAAGGTGAGGACGATGTGGATAGGAATGTGCTGTCAGGACCACTTTGCCAACCATGTGAATGGGGTGTCTTGGAAGTGGATTCCTTCCCCACTCCAACCTATCCAGGAGGCTTCTTATAATTCAAACTGTTTTCTACATAGTAGAAGGAATGAGACATAAACTTGAAAAACATTTCTTGTGGTAGTTATGCTCCTGGTGACTGTGTTGCTCCTTCTGTCTGAACTCTATTCACTGACTAATATAAAATACAACGTGCTATGCAGACAGAAGGTAGGGAAGAGTTTTATTACTGACCTTTGTAATGTGTTGATATTAAGGTAAAATTTGGTCACTTCGTAATCATATTGACTTCTTATTTAGGGAAGCTTTCTCCCTAATTTTCAGGACCACAATCCAGACACATACATAACTTATTTAGGACAGCCTAATACTCTTCTCAAATAATTCCAAAAGTTTCACATTTTTTAATATTGCTGTTAAATTTAAATAACAGGCTGGTAATCTCATGACATTGAATATACTGAAACTATGATTAGCCTAAGAAAAGTAAAATTTTAGGAAAGCAAAACTTCAAAAATAAAACAAAATTTCTACTTGTCTCTGGTTTGTCTCCATAATGTATTCCAAATAATATGATTATGAATAAATTTTTATAGGTATATTTTAAGTCAGTACTCTCATAAAGATAGATAATTGAGTAGTAACCATCTATATTGTCTAAGGACAAAGTTGTATTAGTTTTTTCCCCAGCATTATTAAGACAGGATTGACAAAGATAGTATATATTTACAGTGTACAACATGGTATTTTGAGGTATGTATATATTGGATGAAATGATTAATTCGATAAAAATAACATTTATGCTTACATACTTAACATTTGTTTTATGGCAAAAACGTGTAAGCTCTACTCTTTTAGCAACTTTCAAGTATACAATACATTATTATGAACAGTCACCAGGCTGTACAATGGATTTCCAGAACTTATTCATCCTGTTTAACTGAAACTTCTTACCCTTTGAACAACAACTGCTGCAGAGTTGTATTGTTATTTTGAATGTAAAACTTACTCGGATTGGTTAAATGTTAATGTCTCCTCTAGACACTGAAGTAAGGGCCAAGAATAGCAAAAGTTTACCCTCTAAAAGAACTCTAGCCCTGATACTTATCTGAAAATTTGGATTTCTCTTCAAAGCTCTTCAATTAATCAAAAACGTTATCATAGGACTAGTGTTTACCATTTCATATTTTACTATATCCTGCCAAAATCATAAAGTAAATGTGTGTGTGTGTGTGTGTGTGTGTGTGTGTATTTAGGCAAGATACATTAAAATGTTTACCTATTTTGGGGTATAAAGCAGGAGGTAAAGTTTTGGATTTATTTTTCATTATATTCATCTAGTTCATTTGTAGATGAATTTGTTTCCCTAAAATGAATATTATTAATGATGCTCATTAAAATGTTAATGAAGTAATGCTCACAATTCCTGCAAGATATTTATAAATAGAGTGCTGCTGCTAACTTGCAGAGGGCAATGATGAAGTGGCAAATTTCTGACACCATAAGATAAAGCCCATTGCTATCTAAGGCTGCTGAAACCTAAAAATCAATCTTTTAGCTTTTATTCACAGAAACTTAGGAAAATATAATGCTGCAAAAACACATTCTTCCTTTATAATCCTTGAATAGTCTTGCATGACTGTCAACATTTAGGCAGTTAATTATTTATACCATCAGAGATGAGTCTATCTGCCCTCACCTATGCCATACTAGAGAGAGGGTGACAGTCCCTGAGCAGGAAGATAGTGCAGGCATTGCGCTGGAATGTTCTGTGGTGATGTAACTGACAAGGAATCTATTACAAATCCCAGTGCTGAGCATTCATTTATCTCTTTATTGCAAGGGCAAAGGTTATATACTTTCTTAGAGCACACTTCACAAAAGAGATAGTTAAATGTACCACACTTTTGGCCACTCATGGAGGAAATAATTGTGTAGAAGAGCTCAGAGGAGATGCTTTATTAAGGAAGCATCGGTGAATCCGAGAAATGTAGATGAACTTTTCCTAAGATGACACCATCTTCAAAAATAAGGAAAACCCTTTGTGCTGAAACATGTTTTGGGTTCAGGAAACCTCTGTTCATATGAGAGAAATAATTGAAAACACCTGAACCTTACATACCAGTTTTTCATATGTTCCTATTACAGATCTTTGAGGAAAAGAGGTTGGGAGGGACGTGTGTTAGGGGTGAGATGGTTTATTGGCCATAGTCACCGGAGCCCTTTTGGTTGTATGTTTATACTCCCAATGTGAACACGATAATCATCACAAATGGAGACAGCTGGAAGAAATTTTCAACCATGAAATAAGTTAATTTTTATTGTACACTCTTAAATTTCCTGCTATTCTCCTCAAAACATTGTGACTGCAGTTTCTATAGTAACCATGAAAAAAACAGAAGAGTCTACACAATTTAGCAAACACATGATTCAGAGATAACACTTAATGGTGAAAAGTGGCAAAAAGTGTTATTGACAGTTTCCAGAAATGTACAAGTCTGCTCCTGCGTGTCCAAAGAATGAGGAAATAATGTGAACTGTGTGGCCCAGCAACTAGAAAATATTTATGCTGCATCATAAGCAGAAAAGTATATGTAAAATTATTTTGTTGAGCAATGGCTATCTTTTCAGATGCTTGAGACTAGAATATGATTTTTTCCATCTTGGAAATACTAGCCATATTTTATTAGAAGTACTTTGCAAACCATTTCAACCATTTTTAGTGTACCATTCAGTGGCATTAAGTACATTCACAATGTTGTGCAGCCATTACCTCTATCCATTTCCTGAACAGTTTTCATCATCCCAAACACAGACGCTATACCCATTAAATAATAACTTTCCATTCTCCCCTTCCCAGCCCAGCCCCTAGTAAATTCTGTTATACTTTCCATCTCCTTAAATTTTTTTATTGAGATAAGTGAAATTATATAATATTTGTCCTTTTGTGTATGGCTTATTTCATTTAACATAATATTTCAAAGTTTATCCATGTTGTAGCATGTATTATAACTTCATTCTTTTTTTAATAACTGAATAATATTTCATTGTATTATACACCATATTTTAAAAATCCATTTCTCTGTCCATGGACATGTGTTGTTTCTATTTTTGGGCTTTTGTGAATAATGCTCTATGAACTTTAGTATAAAAGCGAGGCAGACAGGTGGGAGGAAGTCCCTGGAGAAACTCCAATCAGCCTGCCCACTGAGATGGAGCCTTGGGTTCGTGCCCTTTGCAGAGGGGAGGAGACGGCCCCACCTCTTCCTGGTATTCAAATGGCAGTACAGGAAGCACTCTAGCAGGGGACCCTGGCCTTGCAGAGGATCCCTGTTTCCCCCATTTTTCCCCTTCTCACTCAATAAAACCCTGCTTTACTCATGCTTTAAACCATCTTGGAGCCTAAATTTTCGTGGCCTTTTGTGGCCGTGGGATGGACAGTAACTCTGTATTTAGCTAAACTGAGGAAAAGTCCTGCAACAAAAGCATATGTTGGGGCTGGACGCGGAGGTTCACACCTGTAATCCCAGCACTTTGGGAGGCTGAGGCAGGTGGATCACCTGAGGTCAGTAGTTCGAGACCAGCCTGGCCAACATGGTGAAACCCTATCTCTACTAAAAATACAAAAATTAGCTAGGTGGGGTGGTGGACAACTATAATTCCAGATACTCAGGTGGCTGAGGAAGGAGAATCACTTGAAAGTGGGAGGCGGAGGCTGCAGTGAATGGAGATTACACCAGTGGACTCCAGCCTGGGTGACAGAGCGAGACTCATCTCAAAAAACAAAAACAAACAAACAACAAATCATATGTTTGAATCTCTTGGTATATTTTAAAAATATATTTTTAGCTCTTGGTGTTTGGATGAAATAAACCAGCAAAACTCATTGAATTTCTCTTCATGGTCACCAATAAGATTTTGGGGTAATTTTACTCTCAGTCTTTTAAAAGAAGATATTAGAGAAAAATTCTTACTTTTCTCTTTCTCCTCAGACTCCAAGAAAGTATGTACCATATCTTCCTGTATATGCTATATAAATATATATAAATCAATTTAAATTAAATAGGGCTATAAGGTATAGGCAGGATATTGTCACAAAATCTGAAGCAATTATACCTTCTCACTACAAATAGGGTCAACATTAATAATGGGCATATTTTATGTTTTAAACTTTTAGACTGTTGATAGGTATAGAAAAGATAGCTATAGAAGAAGTATTAAGGATGGCATTTTTAAAAGATAGCTCTATTACATTATTTAATTAAAATATTTTTGTTTCTTTGGGATTTCCTGTTGCTGTGCATGGGATTTTACACATAGTATCAAAAGCTGAAAGGTGAGACTCTTTTGGCAAATTTGTGATAAGTGTAGGCAGGTTTAAAAACTTCCAGCTGGTTACTCCATAGAAATTTCACTCATTATTTCTTTAGGAAGCTGAATTAACCCATACATCAAGGAGATAGATTCCAACTATAGAGAATCAGATAGACTCCAAGATTTATAATTACTGACACATATGCTTTTGGAAAATTCATCTGCAGAAATTGTGGAAGTCATAGACCTAACAGTTGGGCAGGGTATAAAAGACTGAAGTCACAAGGGCACTTCATGTGAACAAAATAAAGACTGTGCTGGTTTTGCTTTTGACCAGTGTTTTTCTTCTCAACTGCTTAGAAAACAAATACTTTAACTTGTCCACTAACTCTACCTTTTTCTTTCAGAAATGGTGACAGTAAAGTCCTAAGGAATTTTTTTTTTCTAAAAGAAACCATTTTCTTGCTTGCTTGCTTCTGGGTTCCTCTCCTGTGTGATGAAGTTTGGTTGCAACATGCTAGGCATCTTCACTTTCTCTAGACTTGGATGTTATTGTCCTGAGCAAAACAATAAATGGCAATGCATGGTGAAATGTAATTCTGACTGGAAACATGCTTTAGTTGTTATGAGGGCAATATGAAGGAGAGGTGTTCAGAGTCTTTCCATTCATATTAACCTTAAATTAAGAACTACAATCAGCAGGTCTTGATCATATTCACAGATGCATGACAGTAACAGCAGTAAAGAAATTCTTTTTTTGTTGTTGTCTTTTCAGACAAGGTCTAGCTCTGTTGCCCACGCTGGAGTGCAATGGCATATACTCCAAATGATCCTCTGGCCTCAGCCTCTCAAATGATCCTCTGGACTCAGCCTCTCAAGTAACGGGACTACAGGCATGTGCCAACACACCTGGATGTATTTTAAAATTTTTTGTAGTTGACAGAATTTAGCTATGCTTCCCAGGCTAGTCTTGAACTCCCACCTCAGCCTCCAAAAGTGTTGGGATTACAAGCATGAGCCACAGTGCCCAGCCATGGGAGGAAATTATCTCCATGAGACCTGAACTTTTGCGAAGGTGAAAGCATTATTCATTTTTTCCCCTGTGAACTCAACTCTGTAATATGTACTTGTTTAGGCTACAGTTTAATGATTTATGATGTGCGGGCCTCTTTGACGCCTAAGCAGCTTAGCTATTATATTTCGTTATCTGGACATGGATACTGTTTACTTCTGGTCTTGAATATGGGGATCAAAATGGTTTTGAGGCAACCAGTTTACTGACCAATTTTTAAATGTTCACACCCTTCATTTTCTTCTTGGTGGTACTTGAATGGTGCCTAATTATTATCTTTTCCTTTTAATATTTCAGAAGTGTCCCAGACTTGAAAGAAACCAGGTAACATACTTAAAGTGCAATAGAAAAAAAAAAAAAAAAAAAGCAAGCTTTGTTTTCCTGTGTGCAACAGGCTTGAATTTTATGTAGATTTCTTAGCAGCAGGCCTTACAGCCTGAGATGTTTGTGCTCTATGCCTCCTCTATGAAAGTGGAACCCACTACGTTTGCTCAGGCATTTGATTTTCTTTAAGTTATGAAATGTCTTTGATTAGAGTGATGGGGAGCCTAGATTGCAGGTCTTTTTGCTCTTCCATAGAACTGGACCATAACACCATAAAGGTAAAGCTGGGAAAACAAGAAAAGGATAACTAACAAGAAGGGCACATGTACTTCTTTGAAAGAAGGAGGTAGTGGGAAAAAATACGAAATTTCAACTGACTGAAAAATTTTGGAAATTGATAGATCAGTTTGGGGCTGAGAGGAGAAAGACATTATCAGTACAGAGATTGAAGGAATATGTCACAAAGTATAGACAGAAAACACTGACATCAGAAAATGTAACTATTAGACTTTCAAAACTCCTTTAGGGCAGGTTTCACGTTAAAGAGCATTAAATATTAGTCTCTCTCTCTGGGCTGTTACATACCAACTCCCCACTCACAAACAGTGGTCCCAGGAGAAACTGCTATAAAAACTTCTTGTCATGTCCTAAGGAACACTCCTTGGAGGGCTAGAAGGACAGCCCATGTTTGGAATGTCCAGTTTAGACCACTGAGGATAGTAAGAGATACGTAAACATAGCTCAGTTCATGGAAAGACTCCATCACCAGCACTTTTATTAGGAATGCCTTGTGTGTGTAAGAGCATTTACTGGTTGTTAGTTTCTATGCTGTATCTGCAATGTTGGTGCTTTCTATGGATCCAAGCAATTGCATACTCTTGAGGACAGTGCTGGTGATCTGTAAAAGACCCATTTCTTCCCCTGCTCTTACATTTTTATACTTTTTTTCTGAGAATCCTCAGTGTTTCCTAGTAAGTCTGAAAGTTCATATGACAGGTGGAAGCCACATAGGAATATTACCTGGCCTTTCCAGAATTCTCTAACTTGTGAAAAGCTCTGTTTCTGCGGCATTCTGTAGCATTGTCCACAGACACTGTTCATTAGTCACACGACAGAATGCCCACATGTTCTTTGTAAGGTACTGAGTAAGGGGGCATTTGAGAGCTTGACTCTGACCATACTGCATGCTTTTAATCAGTTATTGCATAGAAATGTTATTAGCGGTCAAAGAAACTTGAGATTTAACTTTGGTTTTTTTGTTTTGTTGGTTTTTCGAGATAGAGGCTTACTCTGTTGCCCAGGCTGGAATGCAGTGGTGGTGAGATCTCAGCTCACTGCAACCTCCACCTCCTGGATTCAAGCGTTTCTCCTGCCTCCAAGCATTTCTCCTGCCTCAGCCTTTTGAGTAGCTGGGACTACAGGTGTGTGCCACCATGCCTGGCTAAGTTTTGTATTTTTAGTAGAGACAGGGTTTCACCATGCTGGCCATGCTGGTCTTGAACTCCTGACCCCAAGTGATCTGCCTGCCTCAGCCTCCCAAAGCGCTGGAATTACAGGCATTAGCCACTGTGCCCAGCCATGAGATCAAACTTTCATTTGCTTATTTGTCTCTGTAACTGGCATTCTGTCAAATTAACAATTTTGGAAGTAGAACCTAAATCTTTTTTGCAGTATAGAACAGTGGTAGCTCACTCTTCCTTTTGTGAATGAAAATGTTTCTTCTGGTCCTGTTTCTAAATGTCTGGTGTCTCTTTCAGACAAATTTGAGTGGGGCAAAAAGACAAAGACAACCTGAAAGCTTAATTACCAGAGTGGTGTGGAAGAGCAATGGCATCAGGTGGAGATTCCAGTCTTAACTTTGCCACTTACTAAGTGACTTTGGGTGAGTCACTTAATCTCTCTGAGCTAAAGATTCCTTAGCCATAATCTGGAGATAGTATCAGCCATGCCTACCTCAAAGGTTCAAGTGACATAATATAAAGGCACAAAATGCTATCCAAGTGTACATCATTACAAGTTGCCAAGGATGCTCATGAATACCAATAAGAACCAAACAAACAATGGCTGCATCTCTGAACAACTTTCCACTAACTGACAAGTCAGGCTCAGGAGCTGATTGCAATAGGTAAGTCATTCACTCATGAAGAGTTAAACTGAATAAGTAAAATTTTGCTCCCAGTAAGCTTCAGAAGGTCACAGTGAAGGACACATTGATGATCAACCCTGAAGATACCACTGGATGAGGGTGGGAGCTCTGAGAAAACAGAAGGCATCTTAGGAGGTCCAGAACTTTTCAAAACAGGGTGGTAAATTTTTTAAAAAAATCAAAGCTACCAAATAATATGCCACAGAGAGGATCTATGAACAAGTCTTTTACCATGGTAGCTAAGCAAAATAACTGAGGAAGATCAACCAAGGCTAAAAACCTCTGCCAATTATGTTATTTAATATCCAATGGGATGATTCAAACATTCTTTCCAACCAAAGCAAATCAATTCCTTTTTTTTGTGTGTTTAATAAAATGTCCTCTTTCCAACTCATCTGCAAATTCAGTAGAATTCTCTCTAGCTACAGAGAGTGAAGCATAATCAAATTATGAAAGTGCTGTTGCTAAATGCCTGGGCAGATTTCAGACCTCATTCTTTGCATTTCAGTTGCACACTACTAAAGCTTATGGCAACTGAAGGAACTCGATCACCATGTAGACATAACTCAGGATCTCTGGGAGCAAGAAGTATATCACTAGGAGTCAAGTCTGAATTATTGGCCCCCGGTAATATAATTCTTAGCCTTTAAAATATCTTGGGATTAGTTCTGCTTTTGTGGTTAATTACTGCTTAATTTTAGTAATTCACTTCTTCAGATTTCAGTTTCTTTTACCCTAAAGGAAAATGGTTAGATAAGTCCCTTTTCAGTCCCAGTATCCTATGAGTGTCTGCGAAGGAGGCTTTGATAGGGAAGTTGTAGCTATCACATTTTTAGGAAGCTGGCAGCTCAAGGATATGATGCTATAGGAATGAAGAGAGTGGGCTTGTCAAAGAGTAGTTGACTTTCAGAAAAATAGAAGATTACAATTAGGGAAAATTTAAGGAGAGACAGGCTGAAAGAAACTGGACAGCCGAGTAATCAGACAGAATCTGAAAGGCTGGTGCATAAATGAGGGAAACTAGAGAAACCCTGAGAGCCAGCAGGCTGTATGGGGTAGTAAAATTAAGTCATTTCTGCCAGCAGAATCCAGAATACCAACAAGTTAGGGTTCAGATGGCTGTAGTTTTCATCTTAAGGAATGAAAAGAAGAAGAAAACATAAATAGGCAGAAAAAAGAACAAGGAAACACATAAATAGATCAGTCGTGAACTAGAGAAAGACACCAACCGAAAGGAATCTTTATCAAAATACTACCTTGTCATTAGCTTTTTAGGAAAACATTTAAACTTGATCACTTAAAAGACAGAAAACCACCTTTGTTGAGATATTCCTCAATTACTTAGTTGATATCATAATGAAAAAGAGATGAGGCAACTTAGGCATTGACTTGTTGAATGATACAATATCATTTAGAAAGTGAGAACAACTGCAGTCTCCTTAGCCAGAATGACTTCCATGATGTAATTAATACTCTCTTGCTCATAGGAATTAAAATGTACTGATGTAGTTGCAGAGTTATTTTTTTTTTTAAGTGTTTGAAGTGACTCTGGAGTGCAAGGGCTCATTACTTATCCATCAACAAGGATAAATTGTGGCTATGGGGCAAAAAGTAAGGATGTGACATTTCCAATTTCCCATTCTTTGAAAGCTTATCATTCAACATGAAAACAAAAACTGATGACTCTAAAGGCAACATAAATATTTAACAGAAAATTAGTGACTGTGGAATATATAAGGACAACCCATGTTCTGATGACTTTCAAAGACATATCTGCCGATTACTTTACTTGTATTTTCTGTGGAGAAAGCAAATTTGCAATACTGTTACTTACCTTTAAAGGTTGAGTTGACTGCCTATCGCTTTTATGACTCAGATGTCTTCTTTTTCTTAGTTCCTGAAAATTAAAAAAAAAAAAAAGGAGTTCAGTCCAGTATTCCAAGTATTGATTTTTCATGTTAAAACAAATCTTGGAATAAGATAACAACAAAAGCATTTTCTTTCACTTGAAGAAGAAATCTGTGGCTTCAGGATAGTATTTAGTGGATAGTTGAACCAAGTGGTTTAAAAACCACCTGAAAAGGATTATTTGATTCTTATTAAGTCCAAGTTTCCAATGAATCATTTTAAAAGGAAGCATATATTTCAAGACATAATTAGTCAAAATTTTGAGACAAAAAATATCCATCTGGAAGATATATTTTTTAAAAAGGAGGTTTGCAGAATAATTTTACCAGCCTGTAAAATTCCTCAAATGCTTTCTATACATAGAACTGCCATAATGACAAAGTAGCTAGGGGAGGGAATTCCAGAAACTGGCTGCGTCAGAAGGAATGTGGACAGAAGGGGATGATGCCTCGCCTACTATGTCAGTCACCTTCAGCCTGGTGATGAATGAGGTGACAGATACGGTGGCCTTCCTCACTCTCATCTACTTAAGCTGGAATTGAAAGTCACTTTGTTTAAATATAATTTCCATGTATGAAGCAAGTGTATCGAATTGAAATATTGCTGAATTGAATGATCCCAAGTACAAAATACTCCTAGACCAAAGATGAGATGTTATTTTTATTCCTGTAAAACAAAAGGCAAGAAAACAAAATAATATCCTAGGCATAGGCAATAATGAGCTCCTCTGGGAGAAAAAAAAAACAAACAAGAAAAGCTCTTCAGTCATACCTAAGCCTTTCTTTTTCTATGCAACCTCAGAAGAATTATCAAGTTAAATTGCTGGTATTTTATTACAAAGAAACAATATCCAAAGCTGGAAGTGAAATATGATCTGCAAGGAAGATTAACAAAAATGCAGAGTGTTTCTGGTTATCACAGTGATTTTCTTAGCCACAAATAGGATTCTGAGTCTAAAGAATCAGGATGCTGTTTGGCACATTACAGCATAAACTTACTGAACGGTAAGTTATGCACCTAGAATATAAATAGCCTTCTAAGATATTTTCCTTGCTATAAGCAGTGGCTTAGATGTAAGAAAAATCTAGCTCATCTAGAGCAATTTGTTGGCACAAAACAGACTTTGTAATTATTTTATGTATATCCTTACAGATTCACTGAGAATGAATTCCCATCTGTAAGTTTTTGAAACGGAATGACAGAGCTATCAGTAGTAGTGGTGTCTGTCTGTTTCCATGTCAGTGGGTAATGGCAATTTTGGTATTCTTTTTTTTTTGAGCCTCAAGCATCTAGCACCTAGTAACTTTAAGCTAAATCCCCTGAATTCCCGAAATCAAATATTGTTACTTGTGTGAAGAAATGGACATCTATTTCTGTGAAGAAAGTTACAACCTTTCATAACTAAAGGGCAATCTAAAACATTTTGTTTTGTAATATTGAAATGTTTTGAAATAAATGGTTTAATAAATGGTGTTGGGAAAACTGGCTAGCCACGTGCAGAAAGCTGAAACTGGACCCCTTCCTGATGCCTTACACTAAAATTAACTCCAGATGGATTAAAGACTTAAACATAAGACCTAATACCATAAAAACCCTAGAAGAAAATCTAGGCAAAACCATTCAGGACATAGGTGTAGGCAAGGACTTCATGACCAAAACACCAAAAGCATTGGTAACAAAAGCCAAAATAGACATACGGGACCTAATCAAACTCAACAGCTTCTGCACAGCAAAAGAAACGGTCATTAGAGTGAATCGGCAACCAACAGAATGGGAAAAAATTTTTGCAGTCTACCCATCTGACAAAGGGCTGATATCCAAAATTTACAAAGAACTAAAACAGATCTATAACAAAAAAAACAAACAAGCCCATTCAAAAGTGGGCGAAGGATATAAACAGACACTTTACAAAAGAAGACATACATGAGGCCATAAACATAGGAAAAAATGCTCATCATCATTGGTCATCAGAGAAATGCAAATCAAAACAACATTGAGATACCATCTCACGCCAGTTAGAATGGTGATCATTAAAAAATCTGGAGACAACAGATGCTGGAGAGGATGTAGAGAAATAGGAACACGTTTACACTGTTGGTGGGAGTGTAAATTAGTTCAACCATTGTGGAAGGCAGTGTGGCGATTCCTTAAGGACCTAGAAATAGAAATTCCATTTGACCCAGCAATCCCATTACTGGGTATATATCCAGTATATATCCAAAGAATTATAAATCATTCTACTATAAGGACACATGCACACGAATGTTCATTGCAGCACTGTTTACAATAGCAAAGACCTGGAACCAACCCAAATGCCCATCGATGATAGACTGGACAGGGAAAATGTGGTACATATACACCATGGAATATTATTCAGCCATCAAAAATGATGAGTTCATGCCCTTTGTAGGGACATGGATGAACCTGGAAACCATCATTCTTAGTAAACTGACACAAGAGCAGAAAATCAAACACTGCATGTCCTTACTCATAGGCAGGTGTTGAACAATGAGAACACATGGACACAGGGAGGGCAGCAGTACACACTGGGGTCTGTTGGGGGGAAATGGGGGAGGGACAGGGGGGGTGGGGACATGGGGAGAGATAGCATGGGGAGAAATGCCAGATATAGGTGAAGGGGAGGAAGGCAGCAAATCACACTGCCATGTGTGTACCTATGCAACAATCTTGCATGTTCTTCACATGTACCCCAAAACCTAAAATGCAATAAAAAAAAGATGGTTTGATCCTAAGGCAGATAAGTCAGATCTATTGAATTATAATGAGCCCACAGTCCAGCTTAAGTAAAATTCCATAGATGTGATCTTAATATGGAGCTCACATTGATGAGACTTTAAGTGTTTCATTCCTGCATAAGATTGTCTATGTCTGCTTTCCTTTATTTTCTAGCAGTTGGTTTTTCATAGTGGCTTTGCCACACTCAGAAACAAAGAAACATCATCATTATTATTACTATGATAACATTTGCATAGAAGACAGTAGCAGGTGCAGAGTCCACAATTAAGACGAATTCCACTGCAGTGTAAGAGATGGATTGCAAAAGACAGGCAAAGTACATTCAACCACGAGAAAATGAAGTGTGTTAAACCGAAGATGCTCACAATATCAACTCAAAACAATGCAAAATACTATCTTCAGACTAGTTTCTGTCATTTAAGCTGAATTACAGAAGAAGACTGACAAAGTTGTTGACAATCTGCAAGCCAATCTGAGCAAGAAGAAAGCACATTCTCTCTAGGTATAGAATGAATAATGGCAACACAATGTAAATCTATCTGCTGTGTTAAAGGGCTGTTAACCTTCATTCTGATGACTCCTTTGTGCTGTACTCAGGGCCTAGTTTTTGTGTTCTAACAGCACCTGGTACTTTCTACATTCTATCAAAAATACCTGTCTTGTTTATTTTACTATTTCAAATTTTTATTGTGAAAAATTCAAACGTAAAGAAAATGTCAATGAATAATACAACCAAATTTGTATACCTATCACCCAGATTCAATCATTAATATTTTTGCCATATTTGCATTATCTTATTTATTTATTTATTTGAGACAGTTTGGCTGTTGTTGCTCAGGAGTGCAATGGCGTGATCTTGGCTCACTACAACCTCCACATCCTGGGTTCAAGCAATTCTTGTGCCTTGGTCTCTTGAGTAGCTGGGATTACAGGCAGGCGCCACCACATCTGGCTAATTTTGTATTTTTGATAGAGATGGAGTTTCACCATGTCGGCCAGGCTGGTCTCTAACTCCTGACCTTAGGTGATGCACCCACCTCGGCCTCCCAAAGTGCTGGGGTTACAAGTGTGAGCCACCGTGCCTGGGCACATTATCTTACATCTATCACATATGCCTACATCACCAGACCATTAGAGAGTAAGATCTCAGTATGAATCTAAGAATAACAAATGTAACCACAACACAATTAACACACCTAAGAAAAGAGAAATGACTCAATGTCTAATATTCACTCTGTATTCAAATTCACCTAATTGTCTTTAAAATGTCTGTTCTGGCTGTGATTTTTGTTTTCTTTTTAACCAGTAGCCTACTAAGGAAAACTAAATCTTAAAATGGTAGCATTGCTGTATGGGCCATCTGGCTCAGACACAAAAATCCAACCTAAAAATGGCATTAACAAAATTATTTCTTTCATTTAACAATCTGGAGCTGTGCCAATACAAGGCAGTTTGGGTGTCTCCTCCGTCCTTAGCTCATGGCTTCATCTCTCAGTTGAAATATGGCAGCTCTAGCCCCTGTGGTCATGCCATAGAGAAGACACAGGGGAGCACCCACTCCCTGGGCATGATCCAGATGTTGTAGACATGATTTCTGTTCACATTTCATTGTACAGGATATTGACACATAATCCTACTATTTTGGAGCAGAGACCATGTGTCTGGATTTCCCTGGACCTGCAAATCTTGTGTATATAGGAAGAATATTTTAAGGACTGCAATTAGCTTTTTCTGCTATGAGGTATTTCTGGAAATGACTGAGCTATGACAAACTGTATTAAAATTAATTCCCAATACACTGCAACATAATGATAGGTTTAAGCTTATTAATGGTTAAGATTGTTCTTCTCTTACACTAAATAAGCTTCATGTTAATATTCATTTTGAGTTCATCAAAGTATTTTTTTTTAGATTTTCTTTGTCCTTTCTTGTCAGTGTATAAGCTATCCATGCTCATTAATGGAATAATGCTTTCTTCCCTTTCCAGTTTTTATTTCTCATTAAGCTTTTTTAAAAAAAAATTATTTAAGTATAATGTATATGAAGGAAAGCTCACAAATTATAATTTACAGCATAGTAAAACCAGTAAAACATACTTGTAAATACCACTTGGAATAAGAAATGGAACATGTCAGTATTCTAGAAGCATTTTTGGTACCCTCTAAATATTACTCTTTACTTCTTCCAGAGATAACCATTTTTCTGACTTCTGACACCATGATTCAGTATTGT